TCCTGTCAATGAATATGATCTTCTTAAATCTTATGCAATTTAGGTTTCTTTTTAGGACTGCATCTTCTCCATGTTAGGCTATAGCACCTGCATTGTTTTCAGCTTTTTGGTTATGGAAGGCTTTTGTTGGTTACTGAAAAGAAAAGGTTTCTGATTGAAACTCTATGTGCAGCTTTCTTGCTTGCATACATCAAACCTTTGTTATACGTGTATCTCATTTTGTTTCTGGTTCACTAGAAACTATATTCTGAAAAACAATGGAATTATGTTAGCCTGCTCTATCAAGATAAAGAGATGATGCTTGTTCTATTAGCATGTCTTCTGTTAGATGATGGATTAGAGTTAGTTGTTGGATTTTGACTTATGGTATTTAAGTTCTTGTTCTTGATAGTGGAGTGAAATTCTGGTTTTCTCTGGTGTGTTATCTTTACTATTATTCTTTTAAAAAAAATTTCTATGGGATCAGCCACCTGCAGTAAAAGCACCTGCTGAAAAGGCCCCGAAGAAACCTGTATCAAAAGCTCCAGAAAAGAAAGGAAAAACTGTTGAAGGAGGAACAGAAGAGCCAGTTGATCCTTTAGCTGAGAAACTTCGCCAACAAAGGTAAGGCATTGCTTTTAGTTCCTGTGTCCTGTTGGTTGCTGCTATCAAGTCTGCTGGCCTTTTCTTGTCCCAAAAAAAGGTCTGCTGGCCTTAATTTTACTCTTGCTCCGAAACTATGGTTGCACTTTCATAGTGAATGAAATCCTTTCCAAACTTTAGGCAGAATTTTAATTATTAATTTGAAAAATCTAGGTAAATATTAAGAATTGCAGGCTTCAATCGTTGATAATATTAAGGAAAAAAAGAAGAAGAAGAAGAGAGAAACATGAATAATGTTGGAAAAGGTAATAGGGAGGGTGTAAAATTATTAATTTCCCCGATAACACTAGTTTCTCCTGTTTTTCCTTGTGAAGAAATCATTGGTTGGGCAAATGGGTCATTTCACTATCCATACATTTGAATGATAACTTGGTCTAAATTCTTTTACTTTACTTAAACCCCTAAGGATTTTTTTTTTTTTTTGTTTGTCTCTGTGTATGCAATCCCATTATTTTAGAGTAGTGCTCTGTTATTGAGCTTCATACTGACTAGTATCTTATGTTGTTGTTCCTCTATAGACATTTCAATTAATTATGATGATTGTGGAAGAAGGCGTCTCATTTGGACATTGTTCATGGTGTTCTAATTTTCCATGAGGACTCTTATCAATGTTTTGGTCTTTTAATGCCCTGGCTTTTTGTGGGATTGATATGTACTTAACAATCTGTCTTTCCCATAGGCTTGTGGAAGAAGCTGATTACAGGTCTACTACAGAGCTTTTTGCCAAGAAGGATGGTGATCACAAGACCCTTGATAATTTTATTCCCAAGTCCGAGAGTGATTTCTTGGAATATGCTGAGCTCATTTCTCATAAACTTCGGCCATATGAGGTGTGTAGAATCAATCTCTCTTTCCCTGTCTTTCATCAAGATTGAGAGTTTCTTACTTTGACAATACTCGTTTTCAAATTCAGAAAAGTTACCACTACATTAGTTTGCTCAAGGCAGTGATGAGACTATCAATGACTGCTTTGAAAGCAGCAGATGCCAAGGAAGTTGCATCTTCCATCACAGCAATTGCAAATGAAAAACTAAAAGCAGAGAAAGAAGCCACTACTAAAAAGAAAGGTACTTCCACTACCATCATCATGTTTTATTAACTATTATTTTATTCCTACTATTGATTGAGGGACTAGCACTTGGGGCATGAGCTTGTAAACATTATGAAAATGACTAAGTATAGGGAAAAATGCTTTTCCCAAGGAATGGCTGTAACTTGAAAAGGCTAAAACGATGGCAAACCTAAATTAATTTTATGGTTAATGTCACTGTAATTATAACAATTACTCCCCTGCCAATAAAGGTTGCTTTTAAGGGAAGCGAGTGATATGTATCCATTGTAATGGAACTCTATTTGCTTCAGTGGTTGATTTGCTTTGTCTTCTATAAAGAAAACCATTCTCACAGGCGTCAGGATGAATCTTGAAAGTAGGATCCTAGAGTAGATGCTATAACTCCAAAGTACTCTACGAGATCAAACACCATGGCATAAGTTATAACCAAAGCAGAATTGTATGTGTTATATGGTCTCTATTTATGTATTTGTTCATTATTCCAAGATTCAGGGTTTCCCTTTAACAAAGACTGCTTCCAAAGCCTGTCTTTGTTAATATATTTCAACCAAGATATATTTAAGGACATTAATTGTGGTTGATGCATTTTTTTTTTCTGCGCTCTTTTGAATTCTACAGTTCATCTCATCAAGAAAAAGCTATTCTGAAACTGCTATTTGTCATTTACAGGTAGCAAGAAGAAGCAGCTACATGTTGATAAAGCGGATGATGATTTGGTTGCTGGTGCTTATGATGATTATGATGAATATGAGTTCATGTGATTTATTTGGTCTAAACAATATTGTTCCGGTGTTTGCAATATGATCCCATATTTCATCTTGAATTCATTCAACAATGGAATCATACGGCTCTTTTTGGTTTTCCCAATTTATGGAGAATTAGTAAATCTTGTGTGCACAGCTGAGACATGAAGGATAATGTCATATAAACCCTCCAACTACAAGCTTGGGAGAAGACTTCTGCATAGACTTGGGATCTTTGTGTGTTTTTTTTTAAATTTCATTTGCTGCTTTGGATTATACTAGGAACCCTTTCTCCTGTAATTTTATAGAATTCGCCATTTCTTTGTGCATTATAAGTACTAGTCCCATTGCTTGGATAAAGTTCTGTTAAGAAATTAAAGCATCGGTCTTTGGACTTTTTTTCTCTTGTTGTTTATTGAGAAGGAAATATATTTGTTTTTTATTTAGAAAACTATCAAGACATTGATACAAGATTAATAAATTAATAATTGGGGTTAACCACCATTATGACTTAATAGTTACAACTCTTTTAATTAGAAATCTAAGATTCGAGGTTTAGTAATTTTCATTCCTAATCGCTCAATTGTATTAGTGCTAAAAAAACAAAGGGAGTATGTAGGAATATTACGAAATTGGTTAAATTTAATAAATAGTTTACTAATTATGTGACTTATTTCAGTTTATTTTAAAAATAATTTTTTTAAAATAATTTATAAATTATCACTTTGGTCTCAAAATGATTTATTTGACAAACATGTCATTGTCTAGACAAGTTAGTGTTAATAAGTTACCTCCTAAAATTTTGAACAATGTTAAATATAGTATATATATTTTTATTTTTTACAATATTTTGTTTTTGAAGTTTAAATTTTTTTGTCAAATGTAATAATTAATTAAGATGAAATTTCAATTTACATTAATTAATATTTTAATTTTAATTTACAATAATTGATATTATAATTTAAAATTTATTATTTATAAAAAAATTTAATTTATTATTAAATATTAATATTTTTAATAAATAAACCCTTCTAAAATTTAATTTAATTAAATGAGATCTGCATATAATTAAAATTACCTAAAAAAATAAAAATTCATTTCAATTTTATAAGTCCCCAAATTAAAATCATGCATGTATTATTAGTGTTAAAAATAAAAATAATTTTTTTATGTTTCTATACAAATTAGTGAAAAAAATATGTGATTTAATAATGGTATTAAATTTTTTAAGAAATAATAAAATTTAAATTACAATATTGATTATTGTAAATTAAAATTAGAATCTTGATCAATGTAAATTAAAAATATTATTTTAATAAATTATTACATTTGACATAAAATTTGAATTTTAAAAACAAAATGTTACGAAAAAACAAAAATATATGTATTATATTTAACATTTTAAAAAAATTTAGGGAGCAATTTGTTTATACCAACTTGTCTAGACAAACATTTCATTAGTTTAGTTAACGGAATGTTTGTCAAGTAGATCATTTTAAAACAAAATTGATAAATTATAAATCATTTAAAAAAATTATTTTTAAATTAAACTAAAATAAAACATATAGTTAACAGACTATTTGTTGAATTTCGCTAAACTTTAATATTAAGGACACTGATTCCAAATGCTTACGAACTGATTCACTTGTCCGAACAAGTGAAAACAGTAAACATCAATGATTTTGGCGGCAATGATTACTATCATATGGGATCATAAGTTTGGAGTTATGATTGTAAAGTTTAGGTTTATGAATGTCATTAAATTGGTGAATAATATTACAAGTAAATTTTGAATAAGAAAAGTTAATCATTTAAAAATATGTTATAATTATAAACTTATAGTATCTTATGATATGGTAAACATAACATTTTAGTAATTTTAGTACTAATGATTACAGTCACAAACATCAAAATTTTGCATGATTTCATTCTACCAAAGTTCCTCTTAGTTCATGATTGCTTGTGACGAATGATTATGATTAGCATATGTTTTCTCTAGCAATTTTTGAATAATCAGGTGATAACAAAGACATGGAAAACTTCAATAACCGAGAAATGGTATTATATAAATGCAGAGATCCACAATTTTGTTCTTTGCATTTGTAGTTGGATAATATCTAGGTATATACCAGTTTACCAAGTCTTTTGAAACTTTGGAAACTCAACTTTGAAAATAACATGCCCTTGAATTCTGTTTCTCTGATTAGTTTTATGGATAAAAAGGTGCTGATTTTCAATCGATAAATATCATGGTTCAGTGCAGAGATTTCCTGCATAGACAAAAGATAAAAATCTCCTTGATATATTCCTCAGTATCCGATTATATACCATCATCATCATGGGTGTCTTTACCTTCTCTGATGAGTACACTTCCTCAATCCCTCCAGCCGGGCTTTTCAAAGCCTTGATTCTAGACTCCCACAACCTCATTCCAAAGCTCATGCCTCAGGCTGTCAGGAGCATCGAAATCACTGGATGCGGAGGTGCTGGGCGCATCAGGCAGATCAACTTTGCTGAAGGTAATAATATTATGAGTGCTTTGTATAGTGTGTTATATAATATATTGAACCGAAATGTATACCAATCAATGTTCTAATAATATATATAACCCAATTCATCCACAAGGTTTTCATAAATGAAAAGGCTAATCCACATTAAGTGTGTCAAGAATCAGGCATTGTTTGGGATAAACTAACAGGAGCAACTTGTTTGTACTCTGCAGGTAGTCAACTGAAGTCCATCAAAAACAGAATTGATAAGCTTGACGAGAAGAATTTTTCCTATAAATACAGTTTGATTGAAGGCGAAGGATTGTTGGAGAAGCTGGAGAAGATTACCTATGAGGTCAAGTTTGAGCTCACACCAGAAGTTGGGAGCAAGAACAAGAAGATGACAAGCACACACTGTGCCAAGGGAGATTTTGTGCTCTCTGAAGAGGAAGTCAAGCCTGGTAAAGAAAAGGCATTGATTATGTACAAAGTGGTGGAAGGTTACTTTCTTCAGAACCCTGATGCTTATGCTTGAAGCATTACATTATATATGCCTATGCATGCTTTCCAAATAATGCTCAGGAGTCTAGCTTGCTTTTGGTGTTACGTTAGAGCTTTTGGTTTGATTGCCTTCAATAAGGAGTTTTGATCCCCTTCTGAATGTGGATTGGCTCTAATATTTTCAGCTTACTGTAATAGTGACACATACATAATGTCCCTTTGTTTCAATGTGAATGTGTCTCAAAATGTAATCTTCTATGCAATACAACAAATAATTATGTTCTCCTTTAACTTACATTTTTTTTTTTCAAAATTTTAAATATTACAAATCACGTGATATTTTAAGTTAATTTATAAAATCAAATAAGGGATAAATTGGCAAAGAATTATCTTTTTTTGACCATGTATATTTGTAAGATGTCAAGTGAATACAAAGCAAAAGAAGGGATTGAGATCAAAGAAGAAGACATTGAGCTTGGGAAAGACAGAGCTATTGGCATGTATGAAGTTATAGAAGCCTATGTCACCCTCAGGCCTACACTTGAAGTTATGTTGAGTTCTAATCTTGTGTGATGAATGTAATAGGTACGTTTCAGTATAAGTTGTTTCTTTGTTCATTTCTTTAATTCTTCCAATTGCATACAATTCCCAAAATACAGGGGAAATGAAGGCAGGAAAAGACCAAGAAATTGAGAGATGCATCAAAAGTTGTGGAAGAATATCTGTTGGAGAACCCTAACGCCTATGGCTTAACTAATTGCTTACTCTAATGTGTCAATTAGTTGTACCTTACGGAGTAGTGATATTCTTTTTTCCTTTCTTATAATTTATGTGTTTAAAATCAATAGAATCTTTTTATTTTAACCTCTTTAAAAATTATTATATTTAAATCACATATTATTCTTATTTTTTTAAGTTAACACAATTCTTACATGTAAATCCGACATGAAACTTACTTCCTATCAGGTGGCTTGATAATTCCCACTCCACCCCCAGTTGTATATCCTTCTATGAGCAGCAGTTGACTTTAAATTAATTAATTTATTCTAAACCAATTAATCAAGAGTTAAGACTTGCACCAGCCTATTAATTAACCTGCAATACAACCATGTATAATAGCATAACAATTTCTATAAATTAAACCCAAAAGGCAAACGGAGAGCATAAACTCAATCTTTCTGTGTCT